TCCTGGTTCTGTAGCTCCTGGTCCTGAAGTTCCTGGTTCTGCAGCTCTTGGTTCTGAATTTCCTGGTCCTGCAGCTCCTGGTTGTGAAGTTTCTGGTTCTGAAGTTTCTGGTTCTGTAGTTCCTGGTTCTGTAGTTCCTGGTTCTCCAGCTGATGGTTCTGCAGCTCCTGGCCTATGTGGAATCTGGAGGAGAGAAGAGCCTGTTCGAGCAGGTGCTGACAATCAGACGGACCCAGTCAGTGTCGTGTTTTTACCCAGAGCCTCGGAGCGTCTCGGCATCCCTCTGAAGGACCAGGAACCGGTCCAGAGTGTCCTGCAGGACAGATAGACACGTAACCATCAGAATCACTTCAAACCACTTTATCTCCTTCAGACTCACCTTGATCTCCATTGTGATGCGTCCCATCTCGTCATGGTAACGGGGGAATGTGGTGATGTCATCATCACAGGCAGCAACCAGCGGAGAGCAGCGATTGGACACGAACCGGTCGTCATAGAAATAACGGAGGAGGGGCATCGAGTCCTCCACCTGCAGGATTACTGCAGCCTGCTGCATCACTGCATTAGCCTTGGAGTTATCATGGATCCTACACACACACACACACACACACACACACACACACANCACCTGCAGCTCCATTTGCATAATATGGAAGTAAATCATTCGTAGTCAATATTGAGGACACTCACAGGGCGATAGTTTCTGCAGTCCAGTCTCTCCTTATTCTCTTTGGGAACTATAGAAGTTATGGCCTCTCTCCCAGCAGCAGGAACAGTTTTCATTTCAAGCACCCAGATGAATGTTTTTATTAATGCTGGTACCAGCTGAACTGACATAATCTTTTACCATTCTGAACTAAAGCCGTCTGCCCCTGGGCCGTTCCATTTTCTAATCTTGTAATTGCAAATAGAAAAGAATTTCTTCCTCTGTTATTTTGGAGTTTCCTGCTCTGATCGTTTGTGACTTTAGGTAAATTTAATGAAGATAAAAAGGGATCAGTTTCATTCGTACTTCTAAACTGAGGTTGAGAACATAGTTTCTGGTAGTACTCTTTAAAACACCGTTGTATTTTATCAAGGTTAGTTCCAACCTGGTTTGTTACAGGATTTTCTCTCTGCCTGTTGTTTCCTTCATCTATAGGACAAGAGTTTCAGGGCTTCCCCACCAGCATCGGAGAATTGTTGTTAGAAAACAGTCTTTTAAACCAGACAGTTAAACACACTCAGTTCTGTTCTGAATTAACTGCTGGACCAGAGTCCGGAGCTCCCTCAGCTCTGCTCGGATGGCCTGAAGTTCCTGGTTCTG